CAGTTCCCAAGACAGTCTGTCTTTACTGAAGGATTTCTCATTGGTTAGAAATCCTGTGGCTAAAATTTGTTTACAGCTGGGGCTCAGGAGGAAAGAGCAGTTGCCAGCTGGTCGGATGGTCAGTGGTTTGAGTTCCTTATGGCCAGATGTTGAAGAGTCCTTGGGCAAAGCTCTGAACACCAACTGACCTGCTGTGTGAGTGGGTGAATGACACGGAAAGCAAAGTGTTTTGAGTGGAGAAGAACTATATGAGTGATTCTCTAAATAATTTATTCTCAGATATTTCAGAATGAAAACATATTTACTTACTGATCAAAATTACAAATCCTTGAAAATACCTTTTGTTTTTGCAACACATATGTAATGTCGACCCAGCTGCCTCCTGTGAGTTTTATTTTCAGTGAATGTTAAATGTCCTGATATTTCTAGTATTAATAAAGGTACATGATTATTTATCTTCGTGATCCCTTTTCAGTTCTCTTGCTGGCCATTGATATTTGCAAATCACTACATCAGAAGAATTCATGCAAATACATTTTTTAAACTTAAATTACATTTTAGATTGAGCACTTGCACATTCAATGCAGAAAATTTGATCGTTTGGTTTCTTTTATCTTGTTTCCAGTTTCTGCACCTTTAAAGGGACGTTTTCCTGTCCAAACATCTTCTCAGGACAGCATATCCGATATCAGTCTTCCAACAGGATGCATTGTTAAAGGTCCTTAAGGCAATTTTTCATGATTACTGCTTGGTAGTGTAATCGTAGTACTCTTTACCACTCAGCAGTAGTTATAATTCAAATATCTTCGACACTAAACAATCTGCAGTGTTTCTGTTTGATTAGTTTCAGTCTGTGCTTGGCTGGCCTCTGCTGGTGGCTCAAAGCAACATCTGACACAATCTGAATTCCTAATATTTGACACACCAACTTGTCACTCTTTTTCATCTACAGTCTGCTATGCAACCTTTTTAAAAAGTCATATAAACGTCCAGAGGCCTTTGCAGAAGTATTCTACACAATACTTTACATTGCCTTTCCATATGGAGACTCCACATAGAATAGTAATTTAAATTACTTCCTTTCCTTTCACAAAAGGAAAATAACTTTCTTCCATGCTCCACCTTGAAGTATTACTATCTCATGTCTAAGGAATAAGGTCATGCTTGTTATATTTGAGGCGGCACAGTAGTGTGGTCGTTAGTCATGTTGCTTCACAGAAAGCGAGTTCCTGGTTTCAATCCTGAGGGGCCTGGGGGTTTCTTTGTGCCTTTCCGTGTTTGCACATGCTCTTCGAGTCTTCCTTTTTCTTCCCACAATCCAAAAACACGCATGTTAGGTTAATCTGTGACTCGACATTGCCCCAAGGAATTAATGTGCATGGTTGTTCATTTCTATGTGGCCCTGTAATGGACTCCATCCATCTCTTGCTCGAAATGAGCTTGGATGGGCTCTAACCCTACTATGAATATGTAAGTATAGCATTGGATGCTTCATTGTTTTGTTTGAAATCAGTGGAGCACCCTGTTCTGTTAACCAGTCATATGCACCACTGGCTCATGCAGATATCTTTATGGACCAACTTCAAGAGGTAAGAGAGAACTGTGATTAGCCTGTTTTGTAAAGGCAGTTTTAACCAGTCTTAATCAGATTCAGACCATTAAACAATGAAAGAGTAGCCATGACTGCAGGATGCAGCACGAGTGTGACACTCTTTGTGTGTTGGGTGTCTGTGACACGGTGGATTTTGTGGGACACAGGCTAACAATACTTGTGTGTATATGCCGAGTATTGCATGGGAGGAGGATATTCCTCATATAATCAATCTGGAGACTTCCCATCATTTGACTTGGACAGCCTGGGAGACGATAATGGCCAGAGCGCCTCCAAAGAGACAACAGAAGCTGCTGTCTTACTCTTCTACTGCTGAGAGGATTGTTTAGTCAGAGACACTTGTATTTAAGGAGCACACCAGTAGATGGCATTTTAGTACTGTGTATTGGATCAAAACGGGGACCAGTAGGCTATTTATCAGAGAGGAGAGGGAGGAAAAACTCCATCTCTGGACACAAAGAGGTCATTGTAGCTGCAATTCATTGCAAACATCTTAGCCATGGAGACACCTTTTGTAGGAAGACGTAGTGTGTAAACATTCCTTCTTGTTATGTGACTGCTCTTTGTCCTTTTGAATCTTTATGGACACCAAGCTGAAGACTGTTATCAAATGTGTTATATCATGTCTCTTCATCGCTCCCATATATGGCCCAAATGAAGAAAATAAAGTCGATTTAGAGGTTTATTTGGTGGTTCTTGGACGAGACATTGAACCCCAAACTGCTTACCAGTGTCTCCACTGGTGGGAGTGTGTGCATTAATAATCTGACAATTGGTCAGATTATCTGGAAAAGTGCAGTCCATTTCAAAGGTACATTTTCAAGCACAAACACATAAGCACATGACAAAATGGGAATAGCATGTGTTAGCCAGTCTCCTACGATTACATTCCACCCATACTGTTGACATTTTATTGATAATGGTTAATATGTTTGAACATTTGTGGTACATTTTATGTGCATTTCAAATGGAAATGAGATTACATACTCAGGTGAGAAAAATACTGTGAGTTTAGATGATCTGACATTTGAGAGGCAAAAACTTTATCAGTACCTTTATGTTGTTACACTGATAGAAAAAAAGATAAATAAGCACAGCGAAATATAGTAATAAATAAAGAAATATCCTTTAAAGGTTTAACTGTCAGATACACACCCTTGTGTAGCAAATGTTGCCACAAAGAGAAAGGGAAAGGCATTATCATATTTCCAAATGGAGAAGTGAAAATATAAACATGACTTTGCATGTCCTCTGTATGGTACATAAATTGTCCTTGTGATATTTACTCTACTTTTGCAGAATCATAACTGAAAATAAAGTTCTTGTACCATAAACATCAGAAAAAAATGCTTTACTTGCTTATTCTGAGCTGTTTTTTAGAGTTAATTAAATGAAAATAATATCAAAACAGGCACTGCAATGTGGTCATGCATCAAAACATATTTTTTCCTGATCACTGACTTTCCCCTCTGAGCTCTACAATTTAACACACAAAATCAGACAAAGGCCTCTGACAAAATGTCAACAGAAATATATCAGTTTGAGGGTTGTGCAGGACGGCACAACAAAATATGTTTGATGTATGTAAAATCTTCTCTTTCATGGCAACTTGGGGAAAAAAGATGGGAAAAAAGAACTGGTGGAGCAATCTGAGTTATGAACTACTCTTAGTCGTTGTAGTGTAACAAATTTTTACCCATCGACATTCAGTCAGGGTGTAGTGTCATCTCCAAATCCAAAGCAATGTGCTGGACCTTTTAGAGGACAACAAATCTATTTGCCTTTGCACAATATGGGGGCCAAGAGTGCCTCAGACTGTCACTGCTGTGAGAGTAAGAAAAAAAAAACCCTTAGGCTTGTGATTTACTGGTGGTCTCTCCAGGCTATACAGCTCCACTCACCACAACTCAGCCGCAGACTGAACAAAATCAAGGAGGGACAGAAAATGGGCAAAGCTTGATACAATTTGTCTGTGAATGTAACGTTATTGCTTCCTAAGGAGGTACATTTGTGCATTACTTTGATATTCTTAAAGGGAAAGAACTAGCATCCCACCAGGACAGAGCTGGAGCAACAGAGCATTCCTACCCTCTGTGGACCATTCCTTTCATCACCTGGAATTTTTTATGTCTCTAATCTGGTGGAAAAAATCTTTTAGATAATCACCACTGTCTATTTATATAATACATAACAATAAAAAAAAGAATGATAACAGACTAGTGTAGTACTTTCAGGGTTTCTGTATGCTTTACATGTAATAAAAAACATTAAATGGCTGAACTGAAGATGGGAAAGAAAAATAAAATCCTTTTCTGAAACTTGATGAATAGTCAATATTTTTTCACACTATTTTACTTGACTGGAATTTAAGACATCTCACGTCTCAGAGACATTTTGGTATGTCAGATCCTCCCCGAAGCATCTGGTGATTCAACTGTTCTGCTTTTTCTGTCACGCTACAGTCGCATTCACTTTCATGAACAAGACAACAAATGAAATTAACCAATGAAACCATGTGAGATTAAAACAAAAAGAAGAAAAAACATCTGCTAGTCATGAAATAACCAGACTGCAGCTCATGTCTGCCATGAAACTGCAGCTTGAAAATAGAAACAACAAAACCTTTGTAAGCAAAGCTGAAAATCCTAATTTGAATAATGTCTTGATTTCTGCATTTGAATTCCACTATAGGGGTGTGCCTTGGCAAAATAATGCAAAACTGTGTCAGTTTTGACAATTCTTAGCATATGCATTAGCATATTCTGAAGGTTTTGGTAATTCCACATTGCTTAAAAACACAAAGGATTACTCTTGTTGATCCCTCTTGGGAAATACTTGAACTTCATTCCAATAGTCCAGCAGGGATCACTGTTACAGTGTAGCAGCAGATGAGCGATAATATACAATCTTACAGATATATGGGGCAAGACTTGATATACATAAATTCAGACAGAAAATGTACTTGAAATCTGACAAAAAGCTATTGTATTTTAGCAAAAAGGTTGCTCATCTTTTGCTCTCCTCATGACTTCTTACACACATGCAGCCAACATCCATTAAGTTTGGTCAATACTTCTTGGACTACAAGCAAAAAATAAAAACAGAGCTTAGAAAGCGGTAAATTTCAGAGTTTTATTCCTTGCATATCCTTATGCAGATCATATTGATTAATTCAATAGTTCATATATCTAGAGGCGTATATGTAAAGTTATATATGCCATTTAACCAGTGTAGGTAACTGAAAACTAAATATTTAACCAAGGATGGAGAAGAGACAAAAAGAGGTAAAGTTAAGGGTAAGGATGAATGTCACAAACCCTGATGAATCCCCAATTATGTGCACTCCTGTATAGCGTCATAATGATTGGCAAGAGAACCTACAAATTCTTCCACTTCGAAAACAATCATTCTCCATGATGAGTCATAGAGATCAATTCTGAATCAGACCTCTGAAAGCAACAACAAAACAAAGATGGAGAGTGTGAGGTAAATATTGTGTTTAATAAACAAACATCAGTCAGGGAACTGACATTAGTCTGGTGATGGAGATGGGGGAATATGAAGCACAATGCACATGTGTGGAGGTGGGAGGGGGAAAAAATGTATCTGTTACACAAGGTGCCCCCGTACAGTGAGGAGCAGGAAGCTCTATATAACATACAGATCAGGATCCAAGTCTACGGTACAAAAACTTAGCAGCAACATGTTAACATCGGAGACCAAGGGGCTAACAAAGTAGTTTTATTTAGAAAAAGTCACAGTATTCTTTAATTTTGTTAAAAAGGTAAAAACAGTTCTATGCATCCGCTAAGGTCAATGCTACTCACAAGATCTGTGTGTGGAATACATAGGTTGGGAAATGATCTATACATTTATACTCTAATATAAAGACCTTCTGGTAATGGCACAGTACAAACTCTCAGGAAACGCGACAAAAATATACAATGTCTTCACGTCACATTTGCAGATTAAAATGTAACTAAGTTCTCTGGCAAGCACAATAGTTTCAGTGATCAAATGAAACAAAAAAAAACAACTTCTCATCAACCAAAATAAAGGACACCATTTTGTTAGTTCAGCTATCTTGACAAAGTATGTCTTCTTAATACAAAAATAAGGACAAAATATAAATTAATATATATTAAAAGAATCAGATTGATACATGGGGATCTACTGAATAAGTACAGGTATTTATGATACAATAAATACTTGTCATTCATGACTGGGGGGGGTGGATAAACAGCGAGTAGTGTATTAAACCTGACAGGTAATACGTTGAACTCTACAGGGGAGAGTATTTGTATGCATGTTTGTGTGTGTGTGCATATGTGTGTTGTTCAGTAGCTGTAGAAAATACCACAAGTTTGAGCACGACTGTGTGTTTGTGACCATGCACACAGGCTCAGAGGGTTCAGGAGGCCTGCTAAAGGAGACTGCACACTACGGTGGTGGTTTCGGTGTGGTAAGGGGGTTGGGGGGGGGGGTTATATCGCTGGTCACCCTCTCCCTTGCCTTAATGCAGCACCTCCTATTGGTGAGTCTGTGTGTACTACCGGTTAAAATTACTCCTAAAAACAAACAACTCACAGACAGGAAAAGCAGGAGGTCTACAGGAAGTGGTCGGCCGTCAGTGACCCGTCAGTTCTCCAGGAAAGAGACAGTGCGGCGCACCGTTGGAGTCATCATGACCAACAAAAATGAAGCAGATGCAAGGACAAAGTCAGCTTTTGTGTGGTATCTTTTTCTGTCTTTTTCTCCACTTCGTAGTAAAAAATAAGTCTGTTTTTTGTACTTTACAATACAATTCAAGATCCCCACCGAGGAAGCATCAATCATCAGTCCAGCACTGACAAGAAACAAATCTCTTTATCTATTCTTTTTTTTTTTAAAGTAGTTTTTTTTCTTTGTTTTTTTTTATCCGGGTTTTTAAAAAAAAGGGGGATTGGTGGGGGGGAACTTTGGGAAGGGGGAGTGAGCGGTTTCCTCATGAGGAATAAGAGAAGACTGGGATCAAGTAAGGCGGGCAGGAACACAGAACATTTCTGGAGAAGCGGAAATCTGCCGGTCGTGTTGTCTCTTTAAAAAAAAAAAAAAGAAAAAAAAAGAAACTTCTCTTTCTATGAAGAACACTTTGTACAGCCACACTTCACTACTTTCTCCACTTCCTGGACGAAAGAAGAGCCATCAGTGCACTGGAAGGTGTATTTCCTACGTTTGCTGCGGAGGGGGGTGCAGCAGCTGCCCTGTCCCTCTGACCCCCCCGGGCAGCTGCCCCGACACTCTAGACGGGAGACCTTCTCCTGGGTTTGGCACGCTGCGTAGCCTTGCTGCCTCTGGTAGACATCTCGGACCCGTTCCCCTCGGCAGGCCACCTCTGCAGACACAAACGACATCTCAGCTCTCCTCCAAAAGGCTTCCTGAGTTCTTACACTATCCAGTTGCCTTAACTCAAGCTCCTAATATAGGATGACCAGGTGTGACTGAGGATCTACATCCACCATGATGGACAACAGACAAAATTATAAGTCAATGTGTCACTGGGATTGAAATATAACGTGTACAGAACAATGATATGAGGCTAAAGGGGCACTATTATGAGGGATGAAACATGCAGAAGGGCCAGTTTGACAAAGTCCCGATGCTTTGCACATGCTGAGAAATGTTCAAGGGATCAAATCTAGAGAAGTATATTTGACAAAAACAACGACTATGAAGTGATAAAGTGATCAAAGCACCTGATATGAGCAAATTATTTTTAAGGCCCTAATGGCCCAAATAAAAAAAATCTGATATTTTTCCACAAAGGTTCAGGTTAATATCAAATGTCTGGAAGTTGACCTCAGCATCAGAAAAAGTTAGCGTGGTACAGGTGATGATTCCTCTTTTACCCAACTGACTAATTGCACCGCAGACATTATTTGTATACTATGCGCTATGATTTTCTTGCAAACGCTTAGCAAAGAATGGAGTAAAATGCTTGAGTCATGTTTTCTTTTACAGATTCTCCACGAATTGCGCAGCTTGAGCCTGCAGGACGTCTGGTCCAGTATCAGAACCGTCTTCTTTTCTCGGCCATGTGGTTTTTCCTGTGCTGAAAATCGCTTGGGATATCTCTGGGATGGATGTCGTCTTGAAAGGGACGTGTTCTGATATCTCAGCTAACTTTTTCAGCATTGTTGCTGCTCTCACAGCCTGGCGAAGAAGCTTTGCCAAGGGCACTGATATAGGTCACCCAGTCTGGCTTTTGGACGTGTCGCTGATAAGAGTCTGGATGACTCTTTTCATCTTTTGGCTTGGCGAGCGCAGTTTTCTTCCATACAAGATTGTGAATACTGATCTGTCTGGCCACAATGCAGTTTCCACTGTGTCACGGTCTGTCCCAGACAGCTAGGTCTTATAAGCTAATAAAAGCTTTATTCTTTTTGCATAGCAAAGTAGCATTTGATAATGTTAATCTGTACTGTAAAACTTAAAGATATCCCTCTTTAGTCATTTGGAAAATGACTACAGACTTGACAAAACCTCCTAACAGTTTAACTTCTCAAACATTTTTCTCACGCATTTGATGGCAAACTGGGGATCTTATAACCAAATTATCTTCATAATCAGTTGTTTGAAACTTAATTTCTACCCTTTAGATTACCCACTTCCCAGCTTCTTTGGAATTATTTGCAGACCCTGACCCTAACCCTAAAAACTAAAGAATAACAAGAAATTGAGAGAATCTAGCAAGACAAAGCATTAAATATATAATGCTTAAATAAAGTCAAGGCAAACGAAGTGCCAGATCTTTCTATTCTTTACTTCTCTGATTTGTTTCTTATTATTCCTGCTAATTTTGAATCCTGTTAAAAATCAGAGCTATGTAGATCTTCATTCAGTCAGAAAATGATTAAACATGGAAGCAGACGGGGTTAGAACACATGCGATCAAGTAGTCTCACCTGAGTTGCCCCACGTGTGGGGTTAAGAGGAAGCTCAGGAGATGCTGAAGGGTTAGAAGCGATAGTGCAATAGTGACATTAGACAATGTTAGAGGCACACAAAACTGGCAGACGTCGAAAAGAGTTGAGAGAAAGGCAGACACTTCGCAGTAAGGCTCTAAAAGAACTACCTCAGAATGAAAAGCTTTAAGTGTTTTTGTTAATATTTTGAACAGACTGGAAAACCAGTTTACCTCACACAAAGAAAAACAGTGTCTATGCCTAAAAGCATCAAACAAATCTAAACAATCATCTGCAAGCTTCTTTTGTTTTACTGACCACTGTCACAAGCCTCTCCCGTGTATCCGCTGTTGCACTCGCAGTAGGCTTTGCCCAGGCCCGACACTCTGCATTTGCCATGCTTGCAGCGGGACGAGCTGCAGAGGCTCGCCGTGTCGTGGTCCTGCTCGTCGCAGAGCACGCCGGCGAAGCCGGGCTGGCAGCGGCAGGAGTAGGAGTAGGAGTTTATCGGGAGGCAGCTGCCGTGAACGCACCTGTTCAGGACGGAGGGAGAGAATAAAGAGTGTAGATTAAGAAAAGAACTAAAAGTCCCATCGCTACCATCGGTTTTCAAGTAAAAAAAAAAAACCCTCACTTGTTGCCGTCACAAGGGTTGCTGACTTGCTGGTCACACAGATTTCCGGTCCATCCGGGGTGACAGGTGCAGGTGAAGCCCCGGTGGCCGGTCGGGTGGCAGTCTCCCTGGACGCAGGCCCCTCTCTGGCAAGGTTGGCAGCCCGGCTCTACCCCGTTGCCCAGCCACCGCCCGGTGCTCTGCGTGGTCCCGGAGCCCAGGGCCCCGGGCTCCAGCCCCGCGCCGAGGTCCTGCAGCTTCCCGTTGATGTAGAGGTTGCGGAGGCAGCCGTGAAAGCTGGTGCCGTTCCGGCCCCCCGAGCTGTGCTGCAGGGCTGAGAGCCCCCCCGAGGCCGAGGCCTGCTCCGGCATCCCTGCAGAAAAAGCTGGGATTAGAGATCTAGGTAGAAAAGCAAGAGAAATATCTATAGCCATACAACTGTTTTTTTTTTTTTTTATGGGAAAAGAAACGCTCTGCTTCAGAAAAACCTTTTAACTTTCTATATTACGGTTAGTGATATTTTTCAATGAAGGCTTTCTATATTACGGTTAGTGATATTTTTCAATGAAGGCTTTCTATATTACGGTTAGTGATACTTTTCAATGAAGGTTTTCACCTTAATTAGTGATATAACAAAAAACTAATCACTAACTATGGCACTGTGGCACCTTCTTCTCTTATCAATTCCTCCCCCCTTTTCTTGTTTCCTATTTCTTGTTTACACTGCGTTCAACCCCCCTAAAGTTCTGCTCTCAACCCCTGGCAGACTCTAGACGTTCGGTTTATTGTAAATTGCTTTTGTACTCAATGCTCTCGTGTCCTTGCAAGTTGCTCAGGACGAAAGCTTCAAAATGTCCTCACCTCCCAGGTAGAGTGGAGAATCCACGTTGAGCGTGGACTGCTTGCTGATGGAGCTGATGGATTTAGGGGGACCACCATCGATGGACAGGGAGAGGGTCTGGTCTGCTGCCACCAGCTCCACGGCGTGAAAGCTGCCGTCATTCACCGTCTCCACACTGAGGGAGAGAGAACCGAGACGTTCAGGCTCGCCATTTGTGTCATCCATCACATGGTTGTGACACCTGCGAGGGGGCTGCTGGACATTACCTGTATATAGCAGACGGAGGGTAGGATCCGGTGTCATAGCTGACCCTGAGACGTCCCCGGTACAGCTCCATTGCGATGTGATCATTGTCGCCTTTATACAACAACACACCACTGTCTTCATCTGTGGCAATCTGGAAAACATAGTAAGATGCCCACATTGGTGATCTTATTCCCAGCAATACAGCAGTGATATTTTACAGAGAGAAATCAACATTGAAAAGTTACACATAAAATATGCTAACAGTGAGTTCACACATGGGATCATCTTGTTTCTTTCACTCATGACGAAAGAACAGAACTGATGCAGATTGTCTTAAAATTGAAAACACTTGTTGCACAAAATTCTGGTTCCTATGACCTTATGCATTTCTATTATTAACAGGACAAAAAAGAGGAGATTTAAAGACAAAAACAAATATGCAACATTTGTTTTGGAATTTTTCATCATCACTTCCCCCTCAAACCATATCAGATACTAAAACAGATGTGTGGAGGAGAGGCATGTCTGCTCTTATCCAAGATTTTCCCACACTGCCACTTCCTACCAGTTTCATTTTCTCAAGCTCACTTTACTCAACACTACTCAAGTGTGATGGTCCTTTGCCCCCTTGTCCTGTCTATCTGTACAGTTCTTTTCCTTTTAAAACTCCAGACTCTTGCGCCATCCCTTTACTCTACCATGATACTACACTTTTCATAACTTCCTGTACGGTTTCCTTCAGTTTCCAAGAGGCTATTTCAGAAGATGATATCAATATAATATAATATTATATAATATAAATAATATAGTATAATAATTCAAGGCTCTGGGATGGGCTGGCGACATGTTCATGGTACACCCTGCATTTGCCCAATGTCAGCTGGGATAGGTTCTAGGCCCACTACAACCCCACTAAGCTGTATGTGTGATGAATGATTGAATTTATAATATTTCCCTAAGTATTTCCAATAGAAGCCACCTCTGGTCTTGTTGCCTGAACCAAATCAGATCCAGAAGACTAAAAACAACAATAATTCTTCATCTTCCAGGCAAACCTTTAAGTTAATTTTTGATTAAGCACAATAATGAAAAAACACAATAATAAAAAAAAGAGAGGGTGGCTGTGCTTGTACCTGCAGGCTGATGTTGGTCTGTGGTGAGAGGGAGCTGGAGGGGAGCTGCAGGTACGACTCGCGGCTGACAAAGTTGACGCTGACCAGCGTCTCGCAGCGCTCGCCCTCATAGCCGTGCAGACACTGGCAGCGGGGGTCAGCTCCCATCACAACGCACTGAGCCTCGTTGAGGCACTCGTGGTTGTCGCACGGGCTGGTGCGAGGAAGGACCATCGGCGGAGAGAACTCGCAGAATAACCCACTGCAACGCACAACCGAGTGCCCGTCACCAACTGGATAAACAGTGACTAAACACATCCAGCCCACTGTGCTGGGTGTTTGGAAAATAAGCTAATGTTATTGCATATTTCTGAGGGCAGTCTGTCACATTTAGCATGTTCTATAAAAAGTAAAAAAAATACAATAAAAGTTATATTAATATCATAACAGAACATTCCTGAAAACTATTTTTTTTTTAATTTTCAATGGGACAAAAGAAAGAAAAATAGAGCTAGTATTTCTCATTCCCACACTATACAACGCTACACAGAAATGTTACCCCTCCAAACTTTGTTTCAAACACAGTAAGTGACTTTGAATGCAACGGAAAGCTCCTCCAATATTACATCTAGAAAACAGAGGTTAAAAAGACTTTTGCATGATGGGAGTGAGAAGAAAACGCTTTCCTTGGCAAACACTGGAACCTAACATATCAACGCGCAAGCTGACGGTTCAGGACGGATGCATTTAACACGCATTAACACGCATTCCCATGTATCATTAAAGCCATTATTGGCTGAGGAAATATCCGTCATGTAAAGGGATGTGCGCCTCACCTGTATCCCTCTGGGCAGACGCAGGTGTATCCGTTGACAGCATCAATGCACTGACCCCCGTTCTGACACTTATTCTCCTCGCAGTCATCGTAGTCCAGCTCACAGTGTTCACCTAAATAGCCCGGGGTGCACTCACACCTAACACACACACACACACACGCACACAAAAGTCCTTGTAGATCAGGGCACATTTAGGCTGCTGTTTGATACACAACATCTGGCCTTTGTTTAAACGTGCTGTGGTTGGATTTGCTCTCGCTACGTGCTGAAAACTCTTTAACACACGAAAGGAAAACATGTCAGCTCCCTGTTGACCCAGACAGTCTAGACACACACAAGACAACACACACACACCGACTCACGCTGCTTACCTCCGGAGGGAAAAATAAGCAACTCATTTATCTCAGTGTGTGAGCGTTAAAATGGAGCAGGAGAGAATGCAGCAGTGTGTGTGTGTGTGTGGGCATGCGATCTACTCACTTGTAGCCCTGAGGAGTCAAAATACACTTTGAGTCGTGCTGACATGGGTTTAGCTCTGGGGCACAGAAGTCCAGCTTCTCTTCGCACAGCTCTCCTAGAAACACACACAAATGACATCAGCACCTTTTCAACACTCCGCGCAGCATAAATGTTCAAGTGAATTCATCACACAAAATCCATTGATATCGTCCAATTTCCTCAGTGTGTTGCCTCTGCGTTTATTGCGCGTGTCCGTGTTCCCAGTAAACGTGTGTGTGTGTGTGTGTGTGTGTGTGCATGTGTTGTATGAGTGCGTGCTCTGATGATGGATGACTCTCTTGTGGCCAAGACCAACAGAGTGCTCTGATAAATGATCTCATCGCTAAGAATGTCATGTTCCTGATGATATTCCAGAGTGTATCCTGATACTTTGAACTCCAAATGAATTACTGATGAGGAATCAGGGAATCAACCAATACTCTTGACAGCAATAAGTTCGCTCAGGGAGTAATTACACAACCCCGCGGGGAATCAGGGGAATGTGTGTGCGTGCTTTTATGCCTCTTTACCGCTGACTAACAAATGTGCTACATTTGCACATCCGGAAGTAGTCCTTTTGCTGTGTAAACCTTTATTTCTACATGCCAGTTCGAACACATTTTCCAATTTAGTGAATTGTCGTGAAAACCTTTTTGCAGGTTTGGTAAGGGTTCATGTTTCGGGCCACAATTTAAAAAAAATTATCCCAATGTCCTACAAATACTACAAGCTCAGTTTAACCTTAACATATGGTACAAGGCATTCAAGTCATTAGTCATTTAACAAAAACACAGTCAAGAGGCAGAAGCAGCGTGTGGCAAACAAACCCTGACTGTGTCCACAGAAACTAAGAAGGAAAAGTCACAGCCAGTCAAGTGATTAACTGATTATCAGTGGGCGGGAGCCCCTCTGTAAAAGCAGAGACGTGGACGGTTGGCTGGTTTGAAGCTACGCATCGGCTCTGATATTAGAGGAGTAATTAGTCATCAATCTGGGAAGGGTTATATGACCATTTCCAAACAATTTGGAGTCCACCATTCAGCAGTGAGAGATTATCCTCAAGTGTAAACATTCAAAAGTCTTCCCAGGAGAAGACATCTCAGCAAGTTCACCCAAAGCTCACGCCAAGACAATGTAAAATTAGGAACCTAAAAAAAACTCTCTAGGGACCTCAATATTAATTTCTAAAATGTTCATAACATTGCACGTGGAAATAGACTGAACAAGTATCAGGGAAGAGTTTTTAGGAAAGAAAATCGATAGGGTTTTTAAAGTTATATTTGAACAAAGACCTTTGGTAAAACGTCCCTTGGACAGAAGAGACCAAATAAGGATGTTCGACCATAATACACGACACAACTTAAACATAACATAACACACTGCGGTGGAAGAGTTTACCAGTTACACAACCTAGGGACTGAGTCACTGAGTTGGCCATAAACTCCTTAATATACTAAGTATTCTAGAGTCAAATGTGAGTCCATCTGTCTGACAGGAAAGGCTCAGCTGAAACTGGGTCATGAACAGGCGATGATCCCAAATGCACCAGTTAATCCACAACAGAATGAAAAGAGTTAAGGTTTGGTAGCGGCTCAGTCAGACGTCAGACTTCCACCTGACCCAAATGACCTACATAATGATGTCAGAGACTGATGAATTACAGGAAGTAATTATGTTAGTCACAAACTGCTTCTGCATCTCAATTCAGTTTTTGTTAAATAATAAACAGTGTATTTATGATGATAATGCTCTTTTTCACATAACTGTATTAACTAACCATTCACACCACTAAATATTGTGTAAATTTTCTTTTTCTGTGTATATATATGATCTTGATCCTGATGTGACTTATTTTCGGTGTTACTGGACCAAAAAAAATAAAAAACTAGAAGAAAAACATTTTGTTCTTGAAGACAGGGAAAACTTACAGTTTAACGCTGTTTGATGAAATACTGGTTTTAAATGAACTACTATTAGAGAAAACATTGCTGTTCTGGGTTTTTATAGGAGACTCGAGTTAATTTCAATAAGTAATTGAGAATGGACTCCCATTTAATTTGAAAAAATAAACCTTGGATGGCAATCACACATAAGCATGTAGCATCTTTCATCATTTGCACATCGAAAAACATGCGGAGCATTACTGTACACATTCCGTTAAATATATGGTACCGAATATTCTATGGGTGCATGGATAAAGCACAGGAAATGTGGGAAGCTAGGAATGGAAGTAGGAAAAAAAGAGAAGGGCAGCAGGGACAGAGAGAAGAACAGACTAACCTCTCTCCACCTCATTGGTAGCAGCTGTAACCACAAAAAAAAAGATGAGAGACGACAGAAAGCAGAGCGAGACAGGAAAAAAACAAGACACGGGACAGAAAATATCCAAAGACAGCAAGAAGAGAGAGAACACCGCCACAAAGGTTAGCAGTCAGAGATGATTGCAAAAGCAGACAAACAAATAGCAACAGACCAGTGTTAGTCAGATTAAACATGATTCGTCCTGACGTTATTACAACGGAAAAAAGGCCTTTGATTTAATGTTTCTCGTCTCTAGTTTTGGAAACAGTCTAAAGTTTTCCTGGAGGCCACTAAATAGAACAACTTTAAGTGGAAGCTCCAGGGTTTTTATGTCCAATTCCAATGACAAAATGTAGGAGAAAGGAATGCAGAAATGTGTTGTCATCCTCTGATGGAACACTGTGGTACCTGTGTATTCCGGAGAGCACATGCATGTGTAGTTGTTGATGCCGTCGACGCAGGTGGAGTTGTTCTCGCAGTCATTGTCCTCACAGTCGTCGATGTTGATCTCACACGCGTCACCTTCAAAGCCCTCCGGACACACACACCTGGACAGAGAGCCCGACATTGTGGCATCGTCATAACTCATGAATCAACTGATTAGTTTCCACGATTGTTGAGCAACACCAAATGCGTTTTTACTTCCCAACAGTGCAAAAGCAATAGTGTTCCATTTAATATCATCTTCCTGAGAGGCAAGCATAATTACAAGGGCTGAAACTTTCCCTTTTTTGCTTGAAATAACAATAAAAACATGCAAGGCCATGATTAAAATGACAATGAAGCAATTTCTTTTCAGCGAATAAACATTTAGCCAATTTTTCTTTTTAACCATGCTTTAAAATACAAAACAGAATCCATGCATGCAGTCCAGAACTGCAAGAACTTCGTTTATTCCCAACAGGGCCATTACTCTGTTACTCCCATGAATACGAAGCACAAGCATGTATGCCTCAACTCAGTAACTGCTACTCAGCTTTATTAGTGCACACAAAAAAGCCTTCGGAGCGCTATATTATGATATTATTACAGTCTAATGAAGAGCTCTTATGCGGCACACACTTGGGTGGATTAATTCGGTATTATATAGTCGGTGACAGCTCCTCGCAATTAATATTTCACTCTCTACCCTGTGAGGAAAGATAACAAAGAGGGAAAAACAGGAAACAGGAACACAGTGCGGAGGGAGGGGCCGACAACAGACAGCGGCAGGAGAGTCAGAGGAAGAGACGGGACAGGCTGTGATCTTGGGTTGCTCTAATTGTCTGCGTGGGTGGTGGAGATCTGCTCGGAGCCAGCAGACGGGCACCGGCTCACCTCCTGTTGGCACTAAACGGCCTAATGAAGAGATGACAGTTCTCACTGCTGCTCTGTCCACCGCACACAACAGAGAGCCATTTACCCCCCCGTCAGTTTCATTCCAGCCCCCCGTTAGTGATGGAGTATCACTGATGGGGTTATCTGCTGAGCATCTACTGCTATTCCCTCTGCTGCGTGTGTTCAATAGCACACAGGTGTTAATATTCAGCACAGCCTATCTTGACCGAATATGATTATTTCAAAACGCTGGATTATTATCATTTTCTCTTTTTTGATTATGTGGTGTGCTGCTCCATAAATGGTTATTTATGAAACGGTTTTATTATCTGAGAATCCCGCAACCAGCTCGAAAGTGGCTTCAGCAAATGTTTCCTGACTGAATAAAACAGTTTCAAGAAAGTTAAGTCTTTACCATGTTGTGGAAATAAGTAGAGGAAAAGCACAAAAAGGGAAAATTAAAAACCTTTGTTAAAAATTGCGCGCCTAACTTGATGACTTGGTGAAATAGAACTATGAAATTTAGAGCTTTTTTTTTAAATTCAGGGCCAAGTTATTTGATAAACTGTAATTATCATTAGCAATCAGTTAACAAGATTGGACAGAACTGTGAAAGGGGAATCAACAATAGAATACAAATGTTTCTTGCTCATGCAGTGAGTTAGCCCTCTCTGGGAGCATATGTAGTAAGCCAAGTGTGCCCCACTAGCACAGTAGAACAGTTACATGTTTGTTTGTTAAACGTTGGCTTGAATTTCTGACATTGCAACGGCTAGATAAACATAATACACTCCTGTCACAGTTCAACTTCCTTGGTTTAACTTCTTTCAGCTTTTACTTGGTCACAGACAAACAGAACATGGCATCTGTTGTTATGGTGTATGGATTGCTTTTATAAGTTTTACTTGATCTTGTGGATTTGCTTGGTTTATCTTGGAATTTTTCTGATTTACTTTTACTTCCATTTTTTAGCTAGTTCGGCTTATTTCTATACTATGTATCCTATGTATGATAAAGGTTGTGGTTTTTGCCCCCCAGCCTGTTTGAATCTTTGTGGTTCTTTCACAACACACATCTTACAGGAAGATGACGTAAACATAAAAATGAGGCCAAAGCAGTCGCAGTGAAACCTGTTCATTCTCTGGAAAAAAAAATCTTACCAGAAGTTGCTTCTTTCTCCTTCCTTCAGGTGGCAAGTTCCGCCATTTTGGCACGGGTTACTAATGCAGGCATGGATGGGTTCCTCGCAGTTTTGGCCCTTTTGAAAACACAAACGAAAGTATTTCACTCACTGTGTATAAAATGAGTTAGTCTGACAGCCAAAAAGTTATTTTCACAGAAAGTAACCTTATACATGGGTATTTATGCATTATATCGTCATCTAGGCCTGCGTGGCTTGTGTACCTTAAACCCATAGGGGCAGGTGCAGCGGTAGTAGTGCACAGGGTCATTGGTGCACGTGCCATCGTTCTTGCAGGGGCTCGATAAGCATGGGTCACACTTAGCCTGGATACTCAAATCCACAGGACCTTTATGATGCACCAGTACACAAAAACAGCACATATACACAAGAAACAAGATTAACATGTAAATTATGCGTTTGACTACAATGACTTACACACATCTAGACGGCTGTACAATATAAGGGGCCTGCAATGGTCCTCGTACAACAGAAATCAGGTGGTTTATCACTCTGTCTGGTATACTTTTTTATTCTTTTGAAAAATATGTCAATTCTGAGCAACAAAACAAACTAGATTGTAGAAGAGTAACCACATGCCAGACATTGTTGATCCATTAAAGAAACATTAATCAGTATATATATATATAAGTATATATATACAGTATATGTATATATAAGTATACATATATATATATATATATATATATATATATATATATATATATTTCTACACAAGCACTAGTACAAGATTAGATAGAGTAAGCAAGCCACCACATTATCTATGAGACATTTTCTGTGCAGGACCATAATATGTACAGAAAAAATACACATAGAAATACACATTTAACATTCAGAAGACACATCATTGGTGAGAACATGAGGGCTGAAAGGGAAAAAAACAGCAGTCTGCTCAGGGATCTAGGATGAGGGACAGTGGGGCTGGGGCTGTTTTAAAATGGGGACTTGGGGTTGAAGAGGAATTACTGGGAAATGATTGGCTACTTTACCTGGCACCAGAAAACCACAAGGCCCGGGGACTTCTACAGTGCGTCAGTTAGATTAGGTCAAAAATAAGTTTCAGTCATGTGTTCAAAGTTAATGTGATATAATCAGGTTGAAAGGTAAAGGTCAACAGTCAGCAGCATTTTCAGAATGGCAGGTGGCAGCACAAACATGCTTGACAGGACAGATGTTCTTCAGTGCAGGGAACGTCCGTTTTCTTGTTAGGAGTCAACATCTGTTACGTTGCACTGGAAATACCTGACAGTGCTAGAAATGTGCCCTCATCATGAGCAATCTCGCTTTTTAGCCACTGTTTCTAAGTTGCCTGTGGCTCTTGTTTGACTGATGCATAGGTTAGTGTTAGTAGTTTAACAAATAAAAAATACATTTGTGCAAAGAATGTAGTTAACTTGCAAAAAAGCACCCACTGTCCAAGTAAAACCCCCCCAAAGTTTATTTTCTCCGTAAGTTTGCTGTAGTCGTTGATGTTGTAAGTTGTAAGTTCACTTTGAAAGTTGTATAATGACCAAAATATTTCTTTAAATAAATTCTGCACAGTACCTGATCTAATTGACTTGATCAGTTCACAAATAGATATGAATCATATAATTGTTTTTGAGGACTAAATTAACTATGAGTTAACCTAAGTTAACCAAAGGATCAATGACAGATTTGAAAAATCTAAGAATTCTCATGCATTTAAAAAACTAAATTGTTCATTAACGGCACTCTGATCTGTTTACCAGCCCCATGAAATAGTCTGCTTAAGCAAATCATCTAATTATGGCATTTAATCAAACCAATTGATCATCTAACTGACTTGATCAGTTCATAAATAGATATGAATCATATAATTGTTTTTGAGGACTAAATTAACTATGAGTTAACCTAAGTTAATCAAAGGATCAATGACAGATTTGAAAAATCTAAGAATTCTCATGCATTTAAAAAACAAAATTGTTCATTAACGGCACTCTGATCTGTTTACCAGCCCCATGAAATAGTCTGCTTAAGCAAATCATCTAATTATGGCATTTAATCAAACCAATTGATCATCTAACACGTTCATCAGTCAATGAAAAAACGGGCATCTCCTATAATGATAAGAAATGTATCCTTACAAATATCGACACAAGTATGAAATATTCCTGATATCACGTTTGAGAACAGGAACACACCTCATTTTGGTGTGTCCTGGTCCCTGTGTTACTTAAGTTTATGTGTGCAACAGTGTGCGCTTACCTGTGCAGGTGAACTTCTTGGAAGGCGTGGTTAGGAGCAGTTTATCCGTCATGTCTCCGGGCCCGGTACAACGGGCAATGCCGGGTTCCTTGTAGCCACTCTTCACCCAGTCTGAAAGCCACTGCATGTGACAGTCACAGTACAGAGGGTTGGCTCCAAGAGCCCTGCAGCATGAGAAGAGCCCAAAGTGGGAACAGCATTTAGTCATGTGCAAATGTGGGATTATGTAATGATATTTAAGAGCACAAACACCATTAATACACCTCCACCTGCCATATGAATCGGAGCAAAAACCATCAAATGTGTGTAAAAAGTAAGCAACTGTCTAAATGCTGACAGGCTGAGGAATCCATAACTACCAAATCATAACTGAAATCTCTGGTGTCCTGCAAATAACTGAGACAGAAGAGGGTGTGACTGGGTTTTGGAAAAGGGTGTATGTAAAAGCTAAGATTTTAAATGTTCACCAGGTAAAGAAAAACAAACAAACAACACATTTATTTAGTTATTCTTTTTAATAACGACTTTAAAAGACTAAAAATGAGGAATCGTTTTGCAGCCATCAATTGCAACGTTTGTGTTTCTCCACTGAATAGTAATCTAATTGGCATCTGATGCCATTAAAGTAGGCAAATAAATCTTTGCTACTAATGTTACAGTCAAATCCAGCAATAAGTCTGCCCCATCCCCTGGGTTTATGCTGCTGTGAATGAACTTTTGCATGGTCAAGTTCACTGTTGTACCTGCAGTCATAAAATATCTAGCTCATGTCCGTATGTGTGATTATTTTTGTGGGAATGTTTCTCAGAGAAACCCCTTGCTGCTACTTAGTTTCCTTTTATACTCCCTTGAACAAGCAGAGCAATTGCTGAAAAATCTAAGTGTGCAACCATTTAGTGATAAATGGTCAATTTCCTAATGCGAGCGTCTCAGACTAAGCTGGTAAACTGGTGTAGAAAGATGTTACGGCCACTCAAAGGACTGTTATATAAAACGCGTCTAATTATCTGTCATCTTCTGTGCGTATAACTTATATTTAAGAAGAATGCAGTGGTTTGTGTTAAGTGCTATCGGTGGTGTGACCTCGGGCAAATCCCTGTCTCCACCCACCATCAAACCTCACATGGAACCAACACTCTCATCTCATCCCCACTGAGAAAATTCAACAATATGGAGTGTACTCCTGACCCATGTCTATGTCTGGTATTTTGCTCTCATGCATTTATATGGTGGGGAAGCAGTTTTTAGGGATACTTTTAAAATGGACGCATCACAGTAAAAGACTGCACTCCTGCTGAACCATTACCACTGGCCCCAACACACCTTAAACATTCTGACTGTTGTGGCAATAGCTATTAACGACTCATTTTTCCCGATGTGTGTCTCACTTGGTTGGTTTTTGTAATAAAAACCTGGAATAATCCTTTCCTTCCAATGTAATTGTTGACTGATGTTCAAGCCCTGTTTTATTTATTTTCCTTTGGATATTAAAAGGCAGGTTGCTTCATCATAAATGAAGACATTTTTTAACACGCGAGGGTGTTTACGTATCACTCACAGGTGGGAGAGCGACGACAGGTCTTTAAAGGCTCCTTCTGGTATCAGGGATATGTCGTTACCATGGAGAGACCTGAGAGGGTGAGTAAAGGTGGAAGAAAGAAAAAAAATGGGCAGAGAAATGCCGACGTCTGGATGTTAGAAGTGTGGATAATATAGCGGCAGTCTGCCTCGACAGTGTCTGCACACTGTGTCAGGATGTGTCAGCGCAGATGCTCACAGCAAACGAAGAGACTTGAGACCGTCGAATGCCCTCACTGGAATGCACCGCAGGCGGTTGTAGCTCAGGATTCTTCACACACGGAAGCAACACGTTGGCATGGAGACAAATGGAGACATTTTTTTAAGGATAGGACTTTCAGGGCACAAATCCTATGAAACGTTATAAGCTAAGCAGGCGGCAAACAAGGCCAGAAGTTTGACAGATCAATTCATCTGCATTCACACGCAAACATCCTTCATGCACCAAAAAAAAAAAGACGTTTTTTTGCTGTTGTTCTTCGTGGTTGGATATGAATGTACTTTCAAAAGCACAGCTCATTGATGTGTGAAACAAGCTTCACCAGCTTTGCGGTTTGGGCAGGTTCAACATTTGCTTTTCAGCCTTGGCTGTGTCGTGACTGTGTAGTAAAGCTCTTCAGTTCTTCTTCAGCTTCCTGTTTGTTCTCTGAGAAAAAACAGATTCATGCCGGTCTACGGCAGGCCATGTGGGACACTTTTTGTGTGACATCTCAATATAAACCATCTGTAACAAAATTTCTGCTTACGTATTCCTAAGCATTTGGAAACAACACGCACACACGCACACACACACACACGCACACACACTGTCACAATTGCACGAATAAAGACTGATGTAAAGCCAGACTCACAGAGTAAGCAGTTCGGACATGTTACTGAGGCTGTGGTTGGACAACGTGCTGATCTGGTTGTTACTCAAATCACTGAAAAAGGAAACAACAGATGCATGAGACGCACACAGGCACACAAGCGTAAACAGATCCGCACGCACGCACGCACAGACTACACGCAGCACGTAACACTCATTTGTTGTCCGCTGCACTGAAGCTGTAACACCCACATCTGGTCCAAACAAAAGCAATTCAACACAGAACATCAGTCTGTTAGTTTTGGTATTTAAGAACAGAGAGCAGGAAACAAACGCCAAGTCATGATCCTCTCATAAGTGTGTGTTTGACTTAAAAAAACCCTCATGCTTTGTTATTCGTGCTTTAATAACTTTGGGTCCTCTGAGTTCATGTGGATGAAACTTACATGAGTGTCAAGTGTTTGTAGTTGGAGAGCTCCACAGGAACCTGAGTAAAGTGGTTTCCATCCAAATACCTGCCAGAAAGATAGAAAGAGAGCAGGGAAAACGCACACACGTCCGCGAACGCGCACACGCAGAGGTAATTTGAAAGGAAAAAGAGTAGGGGGGAAAAGGTTGATATGGAAAATATTAAGGAAGAATAGAAATCAGAGAGAGAGAGAGGGAGAGAGAGAAGAAGGAGTAAAATGAAGTTTGAGCCATATGGGAAATTCCTCATATCCAGCGGTGTGAACGGTCATTACTGCAGCAGCCATAATAAACACTGAAGTTTAATAACCCTACAAGCGTTGCTCTCACTCTCGCCCTGACGCACCCACAGAAAATTGCATGAGTGAGATACTATCTCCCTAACTTTATGACAATGTACTATTAATCAAGCCTATTAAGTGAGTCTTTATTAATACTAGAAGAATCATATTCCCGACAAGAGAAACTCTACTGCTTGATGGTTCATTTAAGGCCACAGCTTTCCACTGCCAGGGGGACTTTTCGGTCTTGAATACTTGTCCTTTGTTAAACTCCAACATGTCCATCTTTTGTTTTTTATGACGTGTTAATTGTGTATTTCTTTTCTTTCAGACCATTGCTGTATTATGCAGAGTTTTAAATAGTTAAAGAGTTATTCGAATGCTATATGTTTAAAGTTTAAAGTGACCTGAGGCTAAAAACTGAACACTATCCTATATGCGGTTTCAACCTAAGCTCTGTCAGCTCTATTTAAGTGCTGCTGAGGTGCCCTCTATTGAACTGCCGCTCCCCTGTCCTCTGGGCCAACTCATGCAGAGCTTACGGAAAACGGACTACCCATAAGCAGACGATGAAACCAGTGTTCTTTGAACCGATGAAGTGATTATTGTGTAATTGGGTGGAGGTTATCGTATAATGAAGTGGCTTTTCGGGCTGTGCCCCCGTGAGTTTAAGTCTCGTAAAGTATAAAAGTCATTCTGTGTTTGATGGTATAGACTCACAGTTCAGTGGTCTCCTTTGGGAGGCCTTTGGGTAGGGTGGTAAGACCCTTGTTACTGCAGCGTACCACAGTGTCCAGACAGGAGCACTCTGCTGGACACCTCAGGACTGGAGAGCAGCTGTTCTCATCATTACCTGGTGACGCAAGAAGGACATTTAGCAGAAAAAGCAATGATGAGGAACAAATATTTCACAAGGTTTTGGTCTGAAAGCAAATTTGATTCACTCCATCCCACCATCTTCGCAGGCAAAGTCCTGGACGGCAACGTCTTGGATGGGGATCTCCTTCAGGAAATATGGACTCTGACAGCGAGGATTTCCAGTGACAATCCGCTTCCTCCTCAGCCAGTCGCCGAGCCAGGCCAGGTGACAGTTGCAGTTGAAGGGATTGGCCAGAAGGTTCCTGGAGAGCAAAAGAGAGGAGAGGTCCTCAGCGTTCGCTACGCTTTTGTGGGAGAGGGTCTCGCAGTTTCACTTACAGAGTGGACAGGGAGTGCAGCGTGTCGAAGGCTCCGGGGTTCATGGAGGTGATCTGGTTGTCGTAGAGCGAAAGGAGGCGAACGGAACTCAACCCTACGAAGCTGCTGTTACTCACACAGCTGATGCGGTTACTCCTCAGCATACTTGGAATATAAAGACGCGACAACAAATTGGTCTTTCAAAGAAATAATGTACACATATTTGTGTGCTTTCTCCGCTTTATTTTATTGCTATATGGCTTACACTCCTAATACATGTCCATACATTTGTGTGTGTGTGTGTGTGTGTGTGTGTGTGTGTGTGTACCCACAGTGTGCGGAGGCCACCGAGCCCCTTCAGCATGCGGTGGTGAATGTTCTCGAGTCTGTTGGAGGTCAGAATCAGCTCATTGACCCCTGAAGCTCCCTCGAATGTCCCCTCCTCTATGTCAGTGATACGGTTGTTACTCAGATTACTGCACAGAGCGGAAAAGACATAGGGCAAAAAATCATAAGGCGGCGAGAAAAGTAATGGAAGACGAGTGGAAACAGGTTCGAACTGCAGAGCTCTCGACCGCACGCCACCCTCGGTAGTCGTCGCATTTGCATGTCTGACTCACATCTTTCTCAGCTGAGGTAGCTTTTTGAAGATCCCCGTCGCTTCTAGAACAGTGAAATCATTGTTGTTCAGGCGCCTGAGGATATATGTGAAGAACAGGAGGTCAGACACGGTTTTACAGTTTTCAGACCACGGAAAGAAGAGATCGAGAGTGATGGGGGGGGGGTTATTTTTCAGCACACATGGTTTTGTATTCTTGAAGAGAATTAAAGCTGACTCACAGTTCTGCCGTGTATTGAGGAATGTGATCTGGTATTTTGGTGAGTTTCTGGTTGGAGCAGTCGACCGTTGTGCCCTCACAGCGGCACTTGTCCGGGCAGGCCAGGTCAGCGAAGCAGTCGCCTCCTAGCTTACTGCGGTAATCCTCTGTACCTGGTCAGAACCATAACCAAAACATCACTGAGGCACCTACACCGTGTTAGAGTCAAGGCCCAGCTTTTACTGGCGCCCGTCACCAACAAAAAAACCCCCTCCAGACGTCCAAAAGAATAGGGCGTGACACAAGGGGAAATTTCTGATACGCTGTACAGGGGTTGTGTTGTCTTTCTGGAACGGTGGGAATCGGCAAGTTAAGCCAAACATGTCCAGAAAAATAAAGCTAATCATAATCACAGGCAACATTTCCCGCGAGCATTGCTTCAAAATGCTTTATCTCAGACTTAAAGGGGCCAGGTCGCATCAGGAAACCCAAACTGTTGAGATCAACATGTACAAGCATATGTGCAGGGTATTGGAGTTTATCAGCGCTGTCAGACTAAGAAGCAACTGTTAGTGTTAGGAACCCCAGCACCAGCAAAACGGCATCAGAAAAGGACATCACAGCAGAAAAGATGTTTACAGACATCCAAACAAACATCTCTCAAGTGGTCCACGCACAAAGACACCGTTTCAAACACACGACACATACACAAAGTTGCAGACGGCCACAGGAGTCGGCTGTCTCTTGCGTCTCGGCCATGCTGCAGCTTTTTGCAGGGCCGTTCCATGGTGCTTGACAGAACCATGTCCCACTATAGGAACCTGGCAGCCACATGGTTAGATCAAGCACAAAGGAACAACCTGCTGACTGACTGCTCCTCCGCTGGAACACAGGGGTTGGAAAGGACAGAGGGAGAGGAGGGCGCGCATGAGAGCAAGCAGGGAACAAAGGACACGAGAGGAGAGGTGCGTTCTGCTGGGTTTTTGCAATGCTTCCTTCTGCAGGAGAGGAGAGGAAGGATTGAGAAGGAGCAGAGAAGATTGGGGAAATTAGTGCAGGGAAGAACACAGTAGCAAGAGACCAGAAAGGAGAAAAACAGAGGAAAGAAAAACAGAGGAAGAAGGAGAGTAGAGCCAGAGTAAAGATTGTGAGACATAACAAAGAGGAGAAGAGAGAAGATACAGACCTGAAGAAAAACGAGAGAAGAAACAAGAGAAGGAGAAGCAGGTATTGAAAAGAAAAAGGAAGAATGGTGCAAAGGTGCAGAATTGAGAGCAGGAGGAAAAAAAGGGGGGAATCTTTTGGTTTTAGAGAAACAATAAATCCAGGCGAAGGGATAAGATGGAGCAATAACGAGGAGGAGGTAATAAGGCGGGGTTCTGACTAGGAAGAAAGTAAGTGACTTTAATAGACGGCAGAAATTATGGGAATTCAAACATCTACAGACGTCTAAATTCACAAGATTCAGAAACAGGAACAGAGCAGCTGTTGCAGAGGAGTGGGAGGAGAGTTACAGCAGCACTGTGCAAGAGAAGCCCTGATGTCTGGGTGTGTTCACACATATACACACGCACGCGCACACACACACACACACACACACACACGCTGACAACACAGACATACAGGTCCAGAAACAGAAGAAGGTGTCGACTTTTGTGCGCTTAAGTTAAAAATTGTTTGAATATTCTCATTGTTGTTGACGTGAACAGACAGGAGGAGTCACAGAAGGGTCAAAGGTCAGGGGCCGGCTCTGGCAAGAGGGGGGGGATTCGGAGTTGACGGAGACCCACGTGTGTTTGTGTGTGAGTGTTACTTACAGCCAACATGGTGTACTCCTGAGTGTGTGAGAAAGGCAGTAGGAGAAAAAAGAAGGGATTTCACTTGTTTGTTTGAAAAAAGGAGAGGAAACTGATAAAAGAAAATGGGGGAAAAAAAAGGTAGTTTGTGAAGCCCACCCAGGGCAGTGATTCTTTTTAAGTAACGACTTGTGAAGAGAGAGTGTCATGCCATTATTCCAACACACACTAGCTCAGCCTTGTTTGCTTGAAGCGTGATTGGTTTGAACATGTTTCCGGAACATTGTGACAATAAAGCCCAACACTGCCGGTCGGTGAGCATTCAGCTTCAGTCGGTTCCAAACGCACTAGTGCACGCAGAGTCAATGTAAACGTGGAAGATGACGCAAATGAAAGCAGCGGGTTTTCACTGGATTGATCTGAGGGCCGATACCACGGCGGTACCACAGGACAGAAAGTGTTTGTTCAACTTTTTTTTTTTGCCTCAAATCTTCCTAAATTATTCAGCTTTTGCTCCATATGTGGTATCTGGGCTTTGAAACCTCTGTCCCCCTGGTGAGCTTCAGAGTTAATGACTGCAGAGAGCACGCACGCACGCACGCGTCTCATTCAGCGCACGCCCTGCCTCCTCCCTGTGCAGCTGCAGTAATGACCGCCGTTAGCCTGCTCCTCATCTCATATGCATGTCTGATTTGCATATTTCTCAGCACCCCTCTGAGCACAGCGGCTCTATGACCTTTTGATGTTCTGCAGTGGGAGAAACACACACGGATGCTCGTGGACACACGCGCACACATTAGCTACCATTAGCCATGCTAAGAAGTGAGGAGAAACAGTCTTTGTGATCGCTGTGCAGATATGCCCTCATCGATATAGTCCCGCATATAGCAGGCAGTTAAAAACAAGCTGGGCTTATAAATCCCAGCATAGTTTAGTCACGGTTACCATTAAAAAAAGAGTCAGTGCAGAGATGAGCGTGATGGTCCCATGCTAGTTAGACATGATGCATTAGAACTTCACTTCCAACAGGGAAAACGGAATGTTCTGGCTTTTAAAAGGTGCCGGTCACTCGAGGTGGCGAGAGTGTGTGTGAAAGCTAAGCAAGTGAACAAAAAGTATCTCTCAAACGCACACACACATGCTCAGTGTACAGTACCTGGGATGAAATACTGTTCCCTAGCTAATGGAAGGACAGGGAGAGTAAAAATGAACATCATCAATAGAACAAAAGGCTAGAATAGAGGAGAACATTTCTGAGTTACATTTCTGAGTGTCCCTGTGTGTTTGTAAAAATGTGTGGGAGGTCCCAGAAAATATTCAACTGAGGGAATTTGTGGTTAGTAGAGAGAGGCTGAGGGAAAATCCCATCAGGAAGACACAGAATGAAAACAGAGGATGGGAAAAGGCTGTCTTGAATTTGTTGTTTGTAGATCTGTTTGTGTGGGACTAAATGATCAAAAAAGATCGTTGTGGATACGTGCATCACTTTCTTCTGTGTATGCATCCACTGCGCCACCTTTTAGTGAGTTTATACCTGAGCAGCGGAACTTCTTGCTCTTGATTTGTCCGATCCGTTTGTTGGCGAGCCGCCGAGGGCTGGTGCAGCGAGCACCGCTTGTCTCGATGGGATTGTCCTGCAGGTAGTCAGCCAGCCACTTCAGGTGGCAGTCACAGATAAATGGGTTTTGGGCTAAGTGACTGATTCACCCGACACATACAGACATTGACAAACGAAAGCACACGCATAAGATGTTGGAATAATGTGCGACAAATTTGTCTGTCTGACTTTTCTGAGTTTGACCACAGAAAATTCTTCCTTATTTCAAGGTCCAGAATAAAAAACATGTGTCAGGACACTTCAAAGAGTGATTCTTAAACTGTCATGCATCATTAAGGGCAATACATTAACATAAAAACTTAATTCAATCTCATCATTACATCTCACTGAAATCATACTTTATCTACAAACAATTTCCCAAAAGTCATTGGGAATTTTATAAATAGAAACATGCAACAAATATCAAAGAGAATATCAAAGTTAGTAAATACAGTATGTACAACATGAGCACTGTGGCGGGAAGAAGGTGTCCTATGCTGTTCTTCTGAGATATACAACAACATGGCCACTTAGTCTGTTTTAAGAACCTCTCTTTTGCAATACCAGCTGTTAACAGACACTTAAATAAAATCTAATAAAGCATTAAACTGTTTTTTTTTTAAATAAAAAGTTAATTGACCATGCCTTGAATGTAGGGAAAATTCAAACAAATGCTAGGAATTGAGAGGAAAAAAAACTTGCTAAACCTGCTTGCTACTTCAGTACCAAGGACAGCGCCATGCAATTTCTTAGTAAACGTCTGTAAAAAGACATTTGGGTGCTTAACATCAGTAGAAATGTTTTGGATCTGATCCCAGATTGCTAAAAAAGAATTATGTTGATGTTTTAGACAGATTTTGTTTGGATTTAATACATAATATTACCAGCATCCTGATGATAGTATCGTATTTAAGTGCTTCTTAATAATAGAACAACCTGAGCTGATATCTTCTATATTCTATGTCATTATAATCCCAGGATCTTGGACGAGGGCAATGAAATAACTGGATTTATCTTCTAGAGGAAAGTTCATATGTCTTTTGAAATGCTTTGAATTTCTGATCTACTGTTAGGAACTATGCACTTCTAGGTTTTGTGTTGATTTGATTGTTGTCATCTATGAGGTGTTTAACAGTCTGACTAAGATGTCTTGGATATATGTCTAAGTTTTTGGCAGGTGATATACAGGATCACGTGTTTGGGTTAAGCTTTCCTTGTATATTGTAGAAGAATTTCGGATGGTGCGTACACTTACAGTGTTTGTATGGCTCTTAGTGATGAGAAAGTCCCCTTGGCAATGGTCTGGAGCTTGTTGTCATACAGTGATAGCAGATTGAGGTTGTGAAGGTCCTGAAATGCATCCACCCGCAGACAGGCTATCTTATTAGCATTCAGCAACCTGAAATATTGAAGTGACAGGTGCGAGGAAAGAGAGACGGAACACAATGAAACCTTTTCTTGTTATCAGTCTAGGACAAGCGTTTTAAATGGCGCAGGTCAGCCATGATGGCTTTCAGTCAAGATATGTCCTCTCTGGTAACAATGTTTGAGGTAAGCGTTTTCCAGCTGAATATCAATGAGATGCAGATGTGAGCTCTTAGCTCCAATGGAATTTGAGTTTGTGTATGTGTGTACGTGTGTGCATACTCACAACAGCTGCAGAGAAAACAATCCCTCAAACAGTCCTTTTGAAATCTCAGTGATCTTGTTCCCATATAGTACCCTGGAGAGAAGAAACACTGCATGAAATAGTTGTGAATAGGATTAATTTAGTCTTATCCTATGATATAACTAACAATGACTATAATAATAATAATACTTATTACTCATGTCCACATTTTCAAACATCATGTGATTTTTTAAATCCATATTCAAAACGTCTGAGCCAAAGACAACGAGGATCATTATTGCGTTACACATCGAATAACAACATGATATTCGACCTCATATTTGGTAAATGTTAAAAATGTCAGCTTCCATTAGTCTTTGACTGTGTGCCAGGGGCAAATGGAGCTTTGAAGTCTTCTTTTTAAAATTCACCAATTTCCGGCTGACTGTGGGAAAGAGATGAAGGCCGGTAAATTGTTTAGTCAGGGACTAAATCTATCTACCTATTTGTCACATTGTAATAACGTGCTTCAAGGGCTTTTGAGTACAACCAATCTCTAAAGAGTCAAACCATGTGGAAGGGAAGGGTGGAGAGAAGCCTATTAATCACTCCATCTCCCCTAAAACAGACTGATATAAATGAAAGTGTATATCAAAGTCTAAAACGTTTTTTTTTTACGAATTTAGGTTAAGAACTGTCAACTTGTGACAAAGAGCCACACTCTGTTTCAAAATAATATTTTCTCTACATTTATCAGCGTCACTAATGCATCACTATACCATCAGAGATACAGGCTTTTAAATTGAGTGCTGAAAAAAAGTCTAATCGTTACTCGCCTCTTTACTCAGGAGGACCAAACACAACAGTTCTGCTGAATTTAAATAAAGCTTTGGCCCTGAGAAGGGAACAGTGTTTCAGGATCATGTTCACACATGGCTTCCTCTGTGTATGATGGAGCTTTAACCTGCATTTGTGGATGGCGTGGGATTTCTTTTTTGGGGCCCATACAGTGATTTTCACAAAAGAATGATGCCTGCTTTTAAGCCTTTAACATCCTGCTCAGCCATTTGGTAGAGCACATTTTTCACTGATTATACTCAGTCATAAGTTTCGGTATTTGATGCCTAAATCAAGCATGAGTTGTGCCTTATCTTTATTTAAATATAATACCTTTACGATACCTTTTTTCCTAAGTGTGGATGTTAAAGGGTTGAATGCATTGCCTGTTTGAGGTTTGAAGAAATAAGGCCTCTGTATAGACATAGTCTGAGACCTTTGACCTGTAACATGTTCCTCCCGCTGTTTTTTGCAGAACGTCCTGTCCAACATTTTCCATGGAATAATAAAACGTTTCACATGCAACATTTGACATATTTTCGACATTTTCCTGTGAATGTATTCAATTAGCTTGCGAGACTTACAAATCATTGCATTCCGTCGTTACTTACATATTTCACAGTGTCCTAAAACCTTTGTGGAACTGGGGTCTTGTAACTTTTTGTGTTTGTTCTTCATCTTCATATCGCATTTATATATAGACTATGAACACAAACAGCCAAGAGGCTGAAATGGCCACTGCTCAGCCAAACAAATACTTTACATACACGAGTTATCAGCCATCTCTACGCTCCATGCTGAGTTTAAGCGTGAATGTAAGCGATGCAAAGACATGTGTTTTAGATTGGCTTTCCTTTCATTGCGTTGAGTGGATGTCCCTGAGAGACCTGAAGCTGGGAAAGGCACGGTGTGGGGAATGGACGCCTCATTTATGTCTCGCAGACGCATTAGTATGTACTGTTCTGTGCATCTGCATGTGCAGACACACGCACAGACACAACTGACGGCTCATTTACATCCTATCCAACCAAACACTGACACACCATGAATGCACAGGGCTTGCTTAATGTGAAATCCATATTGTATGTGGCGTGTCAGCATGAATCTGCACGTCCCATTCTGACTGTGGTGAATGTGTAATGAGGTGGCAGGAATCTCCATTCAGCGATTCAGCATTTATGAATTATTGACTTTGGAGAGACAAGACCTTAATATAACTCCTTCATGAAATAATTCTACATCTCTCGCTCCCTGCTCAGGTCATCTGTCTTCTTTTTTTTTTTTTTAAACAAATTCTTTGCAAGTATTGCAGATGGTCAGACCTGAGATCCAGACCATAGAGGAATCCATCAACAAAAAATCATCATTTGCTGTTTTGGGTTGTACACAGTGAAGAAGTAATTATCATTTTGTATTTAGTGTTTAAGAAAATAAACGTACAACATTAAGCATCAGCAGTATGGCGAGATATAATAGAAAATTGAGGCGTGTGCCTTCAAAAATGATTGTTTTTCATTACAAAAAAGACAGCGCCCATGAACAATCAAGTCGAGCTACAGCCATAGCTGTCCTTGTCCCAGTATACAAGCTCAGGCGTGCAAGAGAAAAGCTTTATAGATATGCATTTAGCATGTCCATAACTTCTGTACTTGTACTGTTTTCTTTTTAAAAACGAGTTGCACCTAATTTTTATTTCATGGTACTAGCTTATTTTACTACAATTTATAGGCCAATCAGCAAGTGATCCTACCGAGTAAAATAGCAAAATGACTTTTTTATCACCTAATTTACTCATAATGAACAAAGTCGACTGTGATATCTTATGGTAAGCTACAGAGCGTGTTCAACTGAATACACTGTGATGAATCCTTCTTTTCCTAGTACGTGTGAAAAGACACACTTCCCTCTAAAAAGATGAAAGCCTAATAAGGCCTTCTCTGAAACCACTATTTTATTGGGTTATTGGAAACAGTAGAAACTTGATTTTACAACATGGCAGATTTGATAGAAGAAATCTTTTTAAGTATGAATATAGATGAGAAATGTCTTATTCTAAGTAAAAAAAAAAAAAACCATGATGAATCCTAAGCAGTGAATGAGGTCGTTACACACATTAGACTTTAACTGGAATACTCACAGAGAGTTGAGCGAGCGAAGGCCTTGGAAGGCATCTGAGGCCAGCTCTGAGATCTGGTTGTTACTCAAGTCTCTGTGAACCACCGCAGGGGAGAAAAAAGGAAACAAGAAACAGAATAAGACGGAGCGGAGTCGGTCAAGAAAAAAGAGACGGAGAGAAAGTGAAACACAGAGGTCAAAACGACCCACAAAGGCAACAGTAACAGAAGTTTCTGTGCTTGGTTGACAGGCCCCAGAATACAGAAATCTTCTAATCTACTCACATCCTGCGCAGCTTCTTATAAGGAGAAAAAGCCCCGGCTGGGATCACCTTGATGGCGTTCTGCTCCAGTCGTCTGGAACCAAACACACACACAGACCATTGAGAAGAGACATTAACATTTCCCTATCATGGACCTATCTTTTCTGTGCCGTGGACTGCTGCTCATTCCCGGGAGCTCTGACTTGGGGGGAACTTTTCCAGATAAAGCGCTTTGATGACCGTTGCCAAAGTCTGTCAGATTTCTCTGATCTTTTGCCCTCTTTAACCAGAGTACATGGCGCACAAACACATTTAACTATCTGGGAAGTGTTCCATCCAGTGCCACTCTCTGCCAGTCGAGCCCAAACAAATCAAACCCGGCCCGGGGTGTAACAGAGAGGAGGGGGGGAGGGAAAAAAACGTCCCGATAACTATTCCTCCGACATTTATCATGTTCAGACACCCTGAGAAATGAGAAGGTAGAACATTTGCAAACCAGGGCTGACATCGGTCATTGTGAAACATTTTCCTGAAGTCCGTTGCTCCTTTTTTGCCATTGCATTTGCAACTGTTCACCTCTGCTGTCATCATTTCTGAAACTCTGACTTAACAAATATATTTGACCATAGAAAAGAGATGAAAGAATAGTTAAGTTCCTTTAAATTAGAGCCTTCCACAAATAAATTCTTCTAAATACTTACCAACACTTATCTAATAATTATTTCTATATATTCAATGACTACATGAGGTACAGATTACTTAAACATGGTTCCAAAACTCTGACACAACTGCAAGGGATTGGGAAAGCCAGAAGTAAAGAATGGAATGTTTTGTTTTAATGTACTAAGAGCACTTTAAATCTCAAATTGTAATTTTGACCTCATTTGAGCTCAGCCAGTCAAAGAATCTTTGCTTGAATTCAATTAATTTTAGAATTTACAAACTGTAAACACGGTGATTGTTGTCCCTCCACATATCTTGATGCACATGCTTACATTTCAAAATGTTCTTTCTTATACCTCCAACCTCACTCTGTTATTTTCTTAAGCAAGAAAGCGCTGCATGACCAGGCTTTCTCATTTCACAGATGTGTGCTTCTATTTCACTACATAAAGGGAGGGGAAAGGAATAGTGAAACAGAAAGGTGGAGAAAGACAAAGAAACTAAATTAGAGAGGCACAGTGAAAGAGCAGGAGAAATACCACCACATTTTGGCGTGTGTGTGTGTGTGTGTGTGTGTGTGTGTGTGTGTGTGTGTGTGTGTGTGTGTGTGTGTGTGTGTGTGTGTGTCCGTGCACGGGAAAGTAAAAGCCTGGCTTACATCTCAGTAATAGTTTCAGGCAGGTTGGTGGGTATTTCTGTCAGACCCTTCCCTCTGCAGTCCACGATGTTGTTACTGCAGGTGCAGGACTCTGGGCACTGTAACACACTGCAGGAGGAAGCTGATGACGACTGGTGACCTACACAGAGGCGGGGAGACAGTATTTTTCATGGACAATACATTATCCATGTGTACAAATCGCAAAAAAACAAACGATTGAGACACAAATAATTCACTGGGGAGAAGCTGCCGCAAGATGTCGTCTTCAGAAGTGACCTTGTTCCATATTTGATATAAGTTTCTGTCTTGCACAGCGAGTCTGACAGGTTTATTCTAAGGGTGAGAGCAGTCCACAGAGAGCCACGCTATGAAAAAGGAAGATTAGCGCTTACCTTCTTCCCAATCTTGAAAAGCATGGGCACACGAGAGCGGAAAAAGAGGCGAACGAGACGAAACAAAAGACAGATTGGCCGTTGAAAAAGAGCAAAACTGGGGGAATGCCACCAAACGGACAACAAAGCGAACAACCTACCTGTGCACACAAACTCCTTCTTCTGCACCTCGGCCACGTTGTGCCCCCTCAGGTGTGGAGGGGCCATGCACTGCGTGTACAGACCCAGGCGGGGGCGCTGCCGCAGCCACTCGGACAGCCAGGCGACGTGGCAGTCACACTGCAGGTTGTTGGAGTGCAGGCGGCTGGATGAAGGAGGAAAGAAAAGGGATGGGGGGGGGGAGAAGTGGTGAGGACAGGTGGGGCCGGCAAGAAAGGAAATAATAGATTAGATGTAAGAGGGGGAGACAGGAGTGGAGGAGGAGAGGGAGTTGCAAGTACAGATCAGTCAATTAAATGTAGAAAGGGGCGCAGAGGGGTAAAGGAAGTCTCTTTCCTTTAAGGGGGGGGGGGGCTTGAATTAAGGATGAAGTCGTGCCACTTACAAGGTCCTGAGCTTTGGCATGTGGTTGAAACTGGCCACGGACAGTCGGCTGATGTTGTTATTGTTGAGCGTGCTAATTAAAAGACAGCAGAAATAAACAACGTGTTGAATTATTTTACGCACAATTTAGCACCGGTGGTTGCAGCACTCAGAAAATTACCCAGAAAATCTAGAAAATGAAGGTTGGACTCTGATGAGAGGCTCATTCTAAGAGCAAAACTGTCTTACGTCTTCTAAAAAAAATGAGAAAAAAACTAAACCAATTTTTTTTTACCTCTGTAACATTTGGATTTAGCTTCATTAAAACATTCATTAAAATTTTTAGGGGACTTTAAATTTAGAAAACAGAAATTGGAAACTAATTAATTATAATTCATTTGTTGATTCTAACTCTTTAATAAAGAATAGTTCATTAAAAAAACTATACAAAGACGACAGCAATGCCACAGCAAAATGGGAAATAAATGAAATGGCAGAGTCTTTTTCCAGCGCTCCAAAGGCAATGCAGTCTTTAAAAGGTCAATGGGGATACTAGCTGCACCATATCCTGCCGCTGTTAGTGTTCCCCATTCAAAAAAATCTGCTTCTCTGAGCAGGGTGACACAATAAACAGGTACTCACAGTACTTCCAGGTCACGTAATGCTCGGAAAGCTCCATCTTCAATACAGCTGATGTGGTTATAGTCCAATTGGCTGCAAAATACACATAAAAGTCCAAATGCTAAGATGCCTAAGAGTCTATCCTTAGATTATAGGAGTAAGAGACAGCCAGTTATAGATCAAAATGCTCCCCTGGACAAGTCATCAACAGCCTTTCTCTGTCTTCCTCATCCTTGTTCACTTTCTCCCTTCTAGTCCTGTCTCCTTTGTTCTTTCTAGAAGCATTTCTAAATGCAGTTGTCTCCAAATCCATCCCTGTTCCCCGCTCGCTTCTATTTGACGTCTAATTTGTATGAGCGGCTTTTTACCTCTTTCCCCATTCTCTCTCCCCCCACTCTTTCTCAGAATAGCTTTGCTGAAACAATTTAATTAAGTCATAAGGACAGTAAATCATGTGCTGTCAGCCACACTCTAATACATGCGAGCACGCACACACACACACACACACACACACACACATTTAATGCCCTGTCCTTTTACAATAATTGCGAGGCATTTAAAAAAAATTATCCTTCGTTGGGAAAAACAACACCCAGGAAGCAGAGAATCAGTTGATAAATCAATATTTATAGAATTACCGCTGGGCAATTGCTTCACCAATAAAGCGACCTACAATTATCATAACTATAAGTGAGGAAAAACAAAGAGAGAATACAGCAAAATGCCAGCATGAGTGCCACACATACGCACACACACACACACACACACACACACATGCTGACGTACACACTCTTACTAACAAGCTGCGGGTGCCAGTCAATACAGCAAGCAGGAGGCACATGACATTTAACACAATGAAATATTGATGCACAGACGCATGGGTGTAGTGCACATTTGCCAATGTGTTTGAAAAGCAAGCGGTAGGTTTTGCATGCATGTACACACACCGGCAGATGCTCGCACACACTCGCAGAAAAAAAAAGTGTTGCTTACAGGTTCTTGATTTCCACAGCTCCTCTGAATGCTTTCCTTGGAACTCCCTGGATCTGGTTCTCGCTGAGGTCACTGGACAGAGACGAAGACGGGGAGGGGAGGGACAGGGAAATGATTTGTCAGGGACCCCAGCCAAGCTGTCACAAAAGCCTCTTCCTTTTGCAGCACAAGTACTTGATGCAATCACCAAAAAAGCTGAGGGGGAACTTCGGGGCCAGGCACATCATCAGCTAAATTGAGTTCCTTGCGCAGAGAGCACTCGTCTCCCAAATATAATCAGCTGTCTCTGTTCATCTCTTGCTGATACACAGAACACTTCCTCTGACAAGTGTCCACCTAACTAAAGCCAGATGCAACTCAATTGTGGGCTATGAACATCTGTAAATGACAGGTAAGGGAGACTTTAAAAGCACTAACAACCTGTAGGTGGCACTAGTGACCTCCAATTCCCTCCACCATCGTTCCCACTCCTCTCCGCCTCAGCCCCACCACCCACATCCTCTCCCCCCCGCTTTTAAGGAGTGAATGATGGATGCACTTGTGCGTGTGTGACTACGAGCATTAGGGTTTACAGAGATTTAATTTTCAGTCACTTTAACTAAGCCGCAGCTCGGATGACACGCATACGGACACAAACACACACCTACACAGTCACAGACACACACACACACACACACTGGAGCGTGTGAGCAGGTGTCTCGCGGACTAAAACAATGCCACGATGCGTTGGCAAGTGGAGTACGAGCAATCACCAGTTGGTATAGCAACTTGCTGTGGTGAAGGACGGACAAATATAGGAGCTGAAGGATGCAGACACAAATAGTAACACGAACAGAGGTGTTAATCGCACACGCGCACATGTGCAGACATAAATAAAAGCGAACGGAGTAGAGGTATGAGAATGTATTTCGTTGCTGAAGCAGCAATGCGGAACGATGATTAAAATAATCAAATTGTGCTGGGAAATGACTGGCTGCACGATAGTGAGTTTTTCTGCATGATTGTGTGTGTGTGTGCGCGTGTGTGTGTGTTGCCTGCTGCCAACACACACCCAAGTTCCAGACAGGCTACCCAACCTTTCACCACTGACCTTCTGGCTCTTGACCCCAGCTGTGGCCTTTACAATGCTAATCGGCTAACAGCTAATGCCCATCTACATTCCTCAGATTCCTGCCGTCCTGATCGCATGATCTGCACTGCAGGTATCCTCCATCTCCCCTGTCCCCACCTGCAGCCTCTTAGCTGCGTCTGAAGTGGCAGATTTTTCAGTTGGTTAAGAATATAGAGTTAGGACAAGGCGCTTAAGACTGAGAACCCTAAGTGACTGTTTTCCTCTTTTCAGAGATTATCTTTTGTTACAGAAGAGGTCCAACTACAATGACAAAACTGCATGCTTTTTTTTTTCTTTTTTTTTTTTTTAGCTTCCAAGCCCGTGGGAGGGTTGGTCACTGCAGGTTTTTGACAGCAGATGAAACAGCAGGAGCACTAAAACAAAAACAAAAAAAACATGGAAGCAATCCTTTTCTGGTAACCATAGTTTAAGGGCAAAGGGAAATAAATGTGTAAAGCTAGTGAGGGAAAAGTATTTCATCATTTGCAATTGAAAAACCAAGCCCAATTACATTTCGTTTTGTCTAAAAAACTCAATTTCAGATGTAGCCTAAAATAAAATGCGATACAATGAAAATATGTCGTCAATGAAAAACTAAACCTGCTCCTGAAAAGGTTTAATCTCATGCCATGATATGAGAAGTCTTTGGTGATAAGTAAGTCAACTTTGATGCCTTTGCCTCTGATGTCATCTTGAACTATTCCTCTTTGGACAACAGATCATATTTGAACTTATCATGTTGAAGTTAAATAAAAACTGTAACAGGCAAACCAAATTATTAGCTGCAGCCCCCACTCAAAGACATTCACACAGGAGGATTTCCCTCCATCTGGTCAATACGTCCAACGAATCCCAAATATATCAAACACATCTTCTTGAGCAAAACAGGGGCCTTTCGTAATGGCACCTCCGCATTCACATATTCACACACGTATGTTTTCAGAGCGGACACTAAGATCAGCCGAAGTGATCCTGGAGTAAGACTTGGCAAACTAAGGCAGATGAAGAGGGGTTTCACCTTTGCTTTTTGTCCACAAGCACACTACACAAACATACACGATTCTCCTTGCGCACACAAGCACACGCACGCACAAGTCTAGTGACTGGTCTGAATCACCCCGAGCGTATCCTGATACTGTTTTTACAGGAAAAGAGGGGGTTTTGGAAAGCAGCCATAACCCCCGTGACCACTAGAACTTTAAAACCAAATAAACACTTGAGAAATGCTCCTTAACCGTACATGGTTTACTTGAACACGCATGCACACACAGACACGTATAAGTTACAGTGTGCATCCACCACATCTGTGTATCGGGTATGAACGTCTGTAAAAGCTTGTTCATGTCTCATAACAGAGCAGCTGACAGTTTGACAGCTTTCATGTGACGGTTTTAAGCTGAACACGAGCGTCACTGAAGGAAACTGCGCAGAGTGGGATCATAAGCCCGCTAAACACTTGGAAATTCACGGAAACACTACTCAAATTAATCAGTGTAGTTAATATACACATATCCCTATGTCCCCCCCGGTCATCTGGCCAATTATGACCATGCAAATGACTGCCCCCCCCCTCCCATCCCAATGATCTATTCATCTAGTCTTTGCTGTAATTTTGTTCTGGCGATTCACACATTGCACGACCATGGCCTTTAGAATGAATTCTACACTAAGTACTTTCCCTTCTGGTCACACACTTTTTATGCTGGGGATTTTTCTAAAATGAAATGATTATTTCTTATCTGACAAGTTAAGTATAAATAGAAATCTATTCAGCCCACTCATAGGTAGGTATGTGTTCAGGTACACTGGAAAAAAAGGAAACAGATGCTGTCAGCTTGTCTTTTAAGGTGAAAACATTTTAAAAAGGTCTCTGTTCTAACTGAAGTCTAACCACATGTACCGTAAATATTTCAATCATTATTCCAACTAACTCATGTGACAGCAAAGTTAAAAAGAAAGGAAAGAAATCCTTATCACTGTCAAGCTGTGTTGGTGCTCTTCATCTTTCGTTTTGGAGCATACAACACCTCAGAAAGTTTAGTTTTGTGACAGATTGACAGAATTTATGGGGAAACATAATTACACCACAATTTACAAAGGAACACAAAGACAAAGAAAAAAATGACAACAATTTTTTCTAACCTTTAAAATGTAATTTTGCAATGTGTCACAAAAATACCAACAAGTTTTAATTTTGACTTTCGAACAAAGCTACAAGATACATTTAGAAGCCAGAATCTTTGGGTAAACGCTGCTGTTTCATATTATGGTTTGAGACGGCGTTCCGCGTAGAGTTACACAGCCCAAACTTTCACATGTTTTCAATCACTTATTAAAAGCATAACGGGACTCATTTTGAACCACTGAAACCTTTTCACTCCTCAGACAAATAAACCCCACGATGACGCTTACTTTTCAACAAGGAAAAGCTCGTTAATGACCGCATCATGATATAAGATGTCCTGATCATCCTCCGGCACAGCAAAAAACAACAAGATCCAATTTTCTGTGCCACATAATGAATAGCAGATCTCATTGCAAATGAGTTCTCCACAAAATTTCTCTCATTGTGATCGATGACAACAGAGCTAAACGCATGCCTGTTAATGGTCCTATGCGCAAACATTACATGTGTGTGACTGGCAGTTTGGGTTAGTGTGGAGCTCTTGAGGAAGTGCAGAAGGCCACTCTAAACCCTATTCATCATTCAGACCACCAGAGAGAGGGAACATGAATAGCTAGTTTTGCCTCGACAAGGAAACTGACTTCTCATGAACTCAGGAGTGGATTCTCTTACTCAGTTTGGTGCCCGGACACCTGATTCAGTTTCGCCTTTGGTTCAAGGTTCTATCCACCACTGCGTACCCCTTTTCTTCTTTCGCTTCCTCTCCTTTACCTCCTCCCTTTTCATCCTTCTCCCCGTGTCCTCTCCGTCTCCTAAAGTGGGCTTGTTATTGGACTTCCCTAAGATTTAACCCCTAACCTCTGCCCCTGCGCCTAAACGGGGAGGTTAGCTTCATTAAAAGAGGCTCCAGCTGAGTTCAGTGAGTGTGTGTATGTTTTGTTTGAAAGGGGCCGGAGGTATTAGACCCACACAGGAACTATCTCATGCAGCTAAGCTAGCGGCCCTCTGAAAGCAGAGACGTGCACGGGTAGATTCATGCGTACGCTCACATTAACATCCACTCACGCCGCCGCTCAAAACTGACAGCCAAGCGCTTGTGTTCATGTTAGGGGAAAAAGAAAACTGTTTTTTAAAACCCACATCCATGTGTGTCGGAAACCGTGATGCACACAGCTCATATAAAAATCAGGCTGTCACTTACTGAAGGTTATTTGTCAAATGTAAGCCTAAGCTACGCTCGCGGTCTCATCTGGGCCTTAAAAGCCTGACAAAATAAACAACACACATTTCTCCCAGTTTCTTCCCTCCATCCACACTTATTTACCATTTTTCACTGTGAAAAACGGAGCTGTGTGAGACTGCTCCCAGGAGCAGATAAATCTAAAAATGCTGGCATTAAATTTTTGGAGTGGAGGGGAGAATTTGAGCTCAAGCAAAACAATGAAATATCCTGTGGTCGGGACGGTAAGTAGTTAGCAGTTAGGACGCCAGCTTTCTGCGGCCCCTTACCTGGTCTGCGGCCATTTATTTTTAACCTGAGTACAGTACGACACGCTTTGCTGTTTCTTTAAAATGACTCAGCTCACACCTCAGTGCACCGGAGCTACGGCAGTTTTTGCCTTTTTTGTTGTTGTTTCACAACAGAAACAGGAGTAAAAGTCCGCGTTTGCTTGGTTGAATTAAATATGTGGGCTCAAAGGGACCACATGGAAGGGGTGAGGGAAACAGTTAAAAACAACTTCAGCACAAATCGACCATCCCGATCTGACACTAAACCCACAGCACTGACAACCAAAACAGGAAGACAGGAGACTGCTTCTGATTAAAAAATTGAATTTGTGTCTTCTCCTTTTTTAAAAAGTGCTCACCTCTTT